GGAAAGAGTCAGGCCTCAAAGTTCAGGGGGAAAACACCTTGGAAAAGATGTATGTTAAAGGCTACCATAATCCAGGTTTGTGATTTTTTTGTTCTTCTTCTTCCTGTACCTGGCATAGCATTTACATGTGACATATAACACAAATCCAGAAACAATCATTATAAAAACTTTAAATACTATGCATCCAACAGTGTTGTAAATAGAATCAGAGGGCATCAAACATCCCAACCATCCAAAAAAACCTCTACATGCATCATCATATTCCCTAGTCAGGCTCACAATATGCTTACCTTCTTTATCAACAGTTACTTGAACTGTGTGGTAAATTTCATTAGATGATTTTAAGACTGATACTACTTCAGCATGTAATAAGTTTAATTTTTCCTCTGGCCAGACTGTTTCCGTGGGTAAAACATCCTGAGGTAAGTATAAGTAAAATTCAAGAAACACCTGATCTTCAATGTCTAGATTATTATAGGACTTGTTTATAGGGAGCAAAATTACCTTCCCAACAACTTGAGTGTTGCACCAGATGTTGGTACTAGGTAAAGTAAAAGAAGTCCTATTACAGGAAAAATCATAAACTTCCACCGTGTCATTTTGTCTTCCTTCCCAACAAAAACGACCTTTTCCCATGCACCAGATATTATGTTTTATGGGGGTTGACACCAGGGGCCAGACCTTTGAGATATCAGGATTCCACATAACTTGGGGACATAGCCATTCTCCCTTCTTACTTTCACAGTCAGAAAGGAAGATGGGGTGCCATGTGCTTTCATTGATCACAATCGCCCAGCAACTCCCCATAGGGAATATTCATGTAGTTTTAACAACCATTCCAATGCCTGCCAATTGGACTACAGAGATTTTTTTGTTTTTATTTTTTTGTTTTTTTGTTTGTTTGATTTTTTTTGGGGGGGGGCACTCTTTAGTTTCAGCACATGGACTCTAAGGATACAATATCTGAGATCGCATTTACCATCTAAGAACGTCCATAAATCTGGAGGTCCATAGGTTACCCATAAATGTTTGGGCTATGTTTCAGCACTGAGCAATGTGGTCCATTGCTTCATAGCCACCTCAGATTCCATTTGTATTAACATGGACATGAGGCCTTGCTGGGTTAGGGTACAGGCCCGTTCCCATCTCTGCGTTACTGAATAGGCTATTATGGTTTGTTTGGTTTTTTTCTACCCATTGGATAAAAGCCACATTATCCTTTAGGGCTGCTTCCCATCCCTTGCCTTCTTCCTTAAAAAGCATCCCTTTTTCCAAAGAATGCCTTTCTTTATTAGCTGCAAACTTAGCTTGTCCTAGTATTCCCAAACCGGCACCCACCTCTCTAGCAGGTCATGCTTTGTCAATTTTTTCAAAAGCCAGTATTGGCATACCCACCATAAATGTTGTTGTCTTAGCATACTTATAGCTGCAGTACAATTGGGGTAAATGGAGTCGACTCAGAATCTTGGGGTGTCCCAAAACACCATTAAATGAGTAGAAGTCATGCCTAAATATACTATTGTTTGAGTGTCCATAGAGCCTCCCAGAGACATCCCAGCTGTAAAGTAGCATTTGTACCATCAGGGACCTCTCTCCACCAGCAGACTCCCATGAACTGCTCTGTAAGAGCAGAGTCTGTCTGATTTGGGCTGCATAGGGGCATCCAACCACACATACAAGGCTGATAAGTGTGCAGGCAGGTCGCACTGTGGCAGTTAACACATGAGGCAGCTAGCTTTTCCCCATCATACCCAGGCAATTGCCTGAGTTTGTCATCAGTGAGGTCTATGGTGATGTAGTGTTCTACCTGGATTGATCCTTGCAGAAATCTGCCTGAGGAATTTTTAGGTAAATATTCTTACATAGCATCATATTTTGTAAAAGTTTTATAGTGTAAGTATTCCATAAAGGGGGGTACCTTTTGCAGTGTTTACAATAGAGCTGTCCCATTCAGTAGCTTTCATTATTTCCTGATCTATGTCATACCAGATGACATGGTTTTTACCTAGGGGGAAAGGTGTGATATTTGCTGTAATCCAGGACAATCTGTTACGCTTAAAGAGGGGTGGAGTATGGGGTAAGCAGACAGAGGACACAGTGGGAAAAAGGACAATTAGCAGAAATATTAAGGCCTTCTTGAAGACACCGTCATGGCTCCTGAGAACTAACCATTTCAGAGAAAACAGAGAAATGAAGATTTTCCACTGATAATTCAGCCTCCAGCACATAAACTCACATGGTAGGAAGACCCCTTTCAAGCCTCCTGTCTCTGAATCTGTCTCTGTCTCTCTCTACCTCTGTCTCTGTTTTCTCATTTTTTTGTAATTTTTCCTTTTTAAAATTTTTAAGGAAAAGCATTTTCTGGGATTTCTGGCCTCTCCTTTCCCTTTATCATGTTACTAATTCCCTCTCCTGCTCCCAACCCAATTTTTGCTTTTTTAAAAAAAAAATATTTTAGATATTAATTTTTTTAGTTTTTCTATTAGTTTTTTTATTTCTCTTTTTCTCTGTTTCTTGGGGGTTTTTTGTTGTTGTTTCTCTCTCTGTGCTTCCTTTTCTGCACACTCCTCGATAATCAGATTGAACTTCAAAGTTTGGGAAGAAACACACCATCCATCATATGACTAGAAATCACCACAGGGCCATAAGAAATATGGGAAAGCAGGAAAAAACCTCTCCTCCAAGGGAAAAGAATAACTCCTCTTCATCCACAGACAGTTATATGGAAATCATGGAAATGTCTGATAAAGAATTTAGAACATCCATAATGGTGAAGCTAGCAGAGATGGAAGAGAAGAGAGACAATGAACTGTGGAAGAGGCAGGAGAAAGCAGCCGACAAGTTCCAGGAGGCGAGGAAATTCATGCAAGATCTCAAAGAGGAATTACACACTTTACAAAAGAATCAGATAGAACTGTTAGAGATGAAGGCTATAATACAGGAAGTCAAAATCTCTCTTGAAAGTATTAAAAGCAGACTAGATCATACAGAAAATAGAATCTCAGATGTAGAAGAGAACATTGCTGGCCTAGAAAAATCCACCACGAAGACTGAGAAAATTGTCCAAAAATTTGAGAATAATACGTGAGAAATACTAGATACCA